TGGTGCGGGGCCGTGCCGGGGTTGGGCTAGCACACTTGCGGGCGGTTCTGCAGCCGGCAGCCCCGGCCCCGAGAGCGGTGTGCCCTCCTGCCCCGGTCTCTCCTCCGGGGTTTGACGTGGCAGCGCGCAGTGCTTGTGCCCCCAGTGCCAGCGAGCTCCCTGCGTGGCCCTCCAAACCCTGTCCGTTAGTAGTATCTGCCTGCCCGGCGTCCATCTGTGGGTGTTTTGCTGTCTGGGAACTAAATAGCTTCGGAAATAAAGCTTTGCTCAACTCATAGTCCCGAGCATCCTGTTCGCATCTCTACCTGAGAGCCGATCTGGTGGGTGTAAGTCCCTCTCCAGCTGCCAAACTCAAACACTGCTCAGCAGGTTCCAGTGACTCCCTTCCCAGCTAATTTGGCAACTGTTTTCTTACACTGAAATGCAGATGGTACTGACAGAGTGTGAGGCACTTGCCTCTTGCAGCAGGAAAAAATGGCATTGGTAGTAAGCGAGTGCGTTGGTTAGTTCAGGCAGTTGGCACCGCACTAATAGGACTGCCACTGTAGGGTGCATTACATTGCCCTGGAGTCGATTGCTTGGCCCCACTCAGTGAGCTTTCTGTAAAATACATAAGAGCTGCGCTGGGAGGGAGCAATTCCTCCACAAGGCAGGGCTGTGACTCTTGGCAAGAAGGGAAAACGGCACTTTGCTACTGTTAGATCTTGTCCACGGGCAGGATTGTTCCCTGCAGCCGCAGTTTAGTTTTTGTTTCTTTCAGCTGGAGGATGAACAGCCCCCTGTGGTTTCAGCACAGCTTCCTGTCCCTGGCTACCCTGTGCAGTATGTGGCCCAGCAAGTCTAGGCTTGTTGCTTTTCTAGTTTCAGCTGCCTTGAAAGAGACCCACCCCCTTATTTAGACGACAGCGCAGTATGTGAATGTGTTTTTCTTAGAGCTGGAAAGCTGGTAGATGGTAAGAGAGGAAAACCTTCCGCAAGTACCCTTTTCTCACTGCATAGCTCCGCTGCCTGAGAGCTGAGCTGACAGTTCAGAACTTCCCTCTGTTGGCCTTTTGCCACCATAAGCACCGCTGTGGTTAGGAGCTGAGCTAGAAGGCAAGGAGACGGCTGTGGCCTCTCCTGACATGCAAATTGGTGTCCAGAGGAAAAGGAAGTGCTTAGTGTTGGCAGCCCCATTTAGTCTGCCAGAGTACTTGGCTTCCTGCAGGCTCCAGCCCTTTCTCAGTGGTCCTTAGACCGAATCAGTGGGAAAATTACTTCAATATTGGCAATACATTCTCTCTGGAAAGCTGGAGCCCGTCGTGGTTGGAGTGAGCTTGATGAGGACCCGGGCCTTTCTGTGACAACCTAATCTGGCTCCAGCCCTTCCTGGGAAAGTTCTTCTGAGCACGTTGTGTACGAACAGTCCCGATCAGCTCTGGTTCTCCAGAACTGCCAGGCCAGTGACCAGCTTGCTGTACTGCAGAGAAGTCAGTAGCTTGCTTCCTTATGTGCGTAGTCCTCTCTCTTGCAGAGAGAAGATACACAAAGATATGGAAAGGAGTCAATGAAAAACTAATTGAGTGAGGGAGGGTATCGGTGTGCAGGAGAGGAGGCAGTGGCTTTTGTTCCCAGTCCCGTGTTTCTGTGCACATTGGGTAGATGGAAGCTGCTGGATAGGGTGGGAGTGGGATGCTGTGGGTGGCATTGTGGATCATGGGTGGGTGAGGGGGGAGACTTTTAATCATCTGCTGGCCTGTGCCTTTTTGAAACTAGAACTCTCTCTCTGTGACTGTTAGACTGGCCCTATTCTTTACTGGCAGTAAAAACATCCCCCAAAAACAGTATTACGCCCTGTGTCCCTCTCTAGTTTTGTCCTCTGGTTTTCATGATGTGGGATGCAAACAGCAGAAACAAACCTAAAGTAAGTTCCAGTTGAGCATAGGAATGAATGGCAGAAGAGGCTGTGACCTAACACAGTATATTTCTGCCACTTTCCCTCTGTCTGAAACCATTAGCACGAGCTGCAGAGTATCTGGGCAGCTGATGCCTATAGAAGTCCCTGCTGGCACAGCATCTAACCTTTGTCTTGTTTCATTCTCTGACCAGGCAGAAGATGGGAACATCGAGTACAAGGTGAGCCTTTTGAGGTTGCAGAAGGAGGTCTTCCTCCCAGAGGGTTATTTTGCAGTGAGTAACTTCACCAAAGACAGCATATGGGGAACATGTCCAAGGAAGGGACAGAAAAGTGGACACTGTACTAAGGAACTATCGGTCATCTTCTGTGTCTCTGTGCCTAGCAATACCCAGTATGCTGAGCTGGAAGAGTTTGATCTCAGTACTCATTTTTAGGAATCTGTTTCAGGAGATGACACCCACTGTGTTTTTCCTGAAATCTTCTTCCTTTTGAGAGAGAGAGCTGCAGGTGCCCCTGATAATCATTTGTCACTTTCTTGTGGCTGTTCTGCCATTTGTGCTTACTTGGCTCCTGTGTCACAGATAGGTCCCACAGTGCTGCCTTTACCCCCACAGCAGGCAGGGTACCTGCCTGCAAGGTACCTTTGGCAAGATGCAGGAAAGTTGTTCTGCCATATGTATGCACATTTGTGAAACCCTTTCTCACCTGTCCTATGGCTTCTGTGCAGACACTAACATGGGCTGTGTTTTCTAGAGGTGGGTCAGAGTTGGGGGCATTTCTTCATGGTGTTGGGTTAGGGAGTTGCTGGCTTGGGCAATGGATTCCCTCTGCATTCAGGCTGTGACTATAACTACCCCCTCCGTTAAACAGCTAAAGCTAGTGAATCCCTCGCAATATCGCTTTGAGCACTTGGTGACACAGATGAAGTGGCGACTACAGGAAGGCCGAGGTGAGGCCGTCTATCAGATTGGTGTGGAGGACAACGGGCTGCTGGTGGGCCTCTCAGAGGAGGAGATGCGTGCCTCGCTCAAGACACTGCGCCGTATGGCAGAGAAGTACGTGTTCCCTTTCATCTGCAGGACCCGCAGGCATAAACAGCCTCCAGTAGAGAGGCTTAGCCCCAGGAGTCCCCTGAGGAGCTGGTGGCTCCATTCTACAAAGCCCCTGTATGATTGAAATTCCTTCATCATGAGGCTCTGGAAATACGAAGGCGATTATAGGGCTTTTGGCTGGAAGCTTGAAGCTCCTTCCCTGCTATCCCCAGATTTCATCCCATTCACTTTGCCAGCTGTGACTCTAGAGGTGCAAGAGCTGCTGTGTACAAGTGTATGGCTCAATCCTTCCTTTCGTGTTTGTGGCAGGGTTGGGGCTGACATTACGGTGCTGCGGGAGAGGGAGGTCGATTACGACAGCGACGTTCCAAGGAAGATAACGGAGGTGCTTGTCCGAAAGGTGCCTGACAACCAGCAGGTAGGGACCTGCAACTTGGCTGTCCTCTCCTGCTGGAGACTTAGAGGCTTCATACAAGCAGCTTCCTTTTGGGATGGGAGCCCAAACCCTAGAGGCACTTCGTCATAGATTGGCCCATAGCAGATGCTTTAAAGACCTGCCAGAGGGAGGCTTGATCATAAAGCTTTTCATCTCCAAGATTGTGGTTGAGGCAGATACCAGTAGGGGAGATTGCCTGGATCAGAGGTGAGAAATTATTTCACTTCTACAGCAACAGTTCTGATGCAGGCCAGTGTGCAAACAAGAAGGATTTAGAGGTCCTGCTGCAGCAAATGGCCTTTTTTGTGACATCAAAGCCTGATGTGTCACATCGTAACTCTAGAGAGTGTTTCACAACTCCTGGGCAGTGGTTTGCTGGGAGCAAGAGCAGAATCTTGGCAAGATTACACTGCACGGTGTCCATCATGGAGGGAAGCTCTCTGAGGCCCATCTCCATTGTCATGCAGTGTTCATGCACACCCAGCACAGCAGCGGTTAAGTTTCATGATTTCTCTGTTCTTCTTCCTGTAGTTCTTAGACCTGCGAGTAGCTGTGCTGGGGAATGTGGACTCAGGGAAGTCAACCCTGTTGGGTGTCCTAACGCAAGGAGAGCTGGACAACGGGCGGGGCAGAGCACGCCTCAACCTCTTTCGGCATCTCCATGAAATCCAGTCAGGAAGAACGTCAAGCATCAGCTTTGAGATCCTCGGCTTCAACAGCAAAGGAGAGGTGAGGGAGTGGGCTGCTGAACTCAAAAAGCTAGAGGAGAATAGGACTACCCTCCTGTTACAATTGCGAGTGGGACATGACACAGAGCTGTGCCACCTCTCTGCCCTCCCTTTAGCTGAACCTGAGTGCTACTTGATCATTTGCAACAGATGTCATTTCTTGCACCCATGGTGAATGATCTCTCCTCACTAATTCTGAGGACAAAGTGGATAGATAAGAGCTGGGTTTTCTTCACTTGCCTGCTGGGGCTTCTTCTCTCACCGAGTCCTTATGTTCCTCAGGTGGTAAATTACAGTGACTCCCGAACAGCAGAAGAGATCTGTGAGAGTTCTTCCAAAATGATCACTTTCATTGACCTGGCTGGCCACCACAAGTATCTGAAAACAACCATCTTTGGCCTCACCAGCTACTGCCCAGACTTTGCTATGCTGGTGGTTAGCGCGAACACTGGCATTGGTGAGTGTTGCCTTGCCTGCATGGATTGACAGCAACGTGTGAAGAGACATTGAGAATTGGGGGAGTGGGTCCTTGTTAGCTGGGAACGGTTGTCAGGAAAAAGTATTAGCCTGGAAGCCTTTACTGATTTCTTGTAAGCCAGTGCCTATGAGTACCTGGGAGGGGAGCAGAGCTGGGATCCTCTTAACCAGCTGTAGACCGCATTAAACTGTACCCTGGACAGAGAGGCTTTGTTTGGAATTTGAGGCTGTGTTTGTCAGAAAAAAACCCAACTTTGACATATTCTTAGGGGTGCTGAATCCTGAAGCCTTGTAAAAAGGCAGCTGGAGTTCTCCCACATTTTTCCTTGATATTTTTGTGGCTGTTTTCTGGCAAACTCTAGCCCAAGAATGAAAAATACTGCATCTTTCTGAAGCAAACAGATCAGTCACAAAAATTCTTGGTGGTTTTTATTTTTCTGGACTGATGTTTGGTTTTGTTTAAAAGAATAATTTTGCTTTTTCATTGCCTGATGAACTAAGCAGTTAGGGTCAAATCTCTAGCGTGGCCCTGTGGGAGAGCCAGGAGACATAGCTGTCACATAAACAAGCAACAGTGGTGACTGCTACTGCACCTACACTCTCACTTGTCTCCTGCAGCAGGCACAACGCGAGAGCACTTGGGCTTGGCCATGGCCCTCAAGGTCCCCTTCTTCATTGTCATCAGCAAAGTTGACTTGTGTTCAAAAGCCACCGTGGAACGGACAGTGAAGCAGCTGGAGCGAATCCTGAAGCAGCCAGGCTGCAACAAGCTCCCCCTGCTTGTGAACTCAGATGATGATGCTGTTACAGCAGCACAGCAGTTTGCACAGTCTCCCAAGTAAGGACCATTCCTTTCTTCTGCTGGGAGCAGGCAATTCAGACTGGGCTGCTGTGTGGAGCTGGGGAAGGGCAACCACAGGGGAGGCGACCACGTCTTGAACATCTTGGCTCCTCATCAAGTTTCCTACCTTTGCGTTCTCCAAGAAGGCATTTTCCCCTCCCAGACCTTTTTCTGGGCACTGGGAGCAGAAGGTGCCTGAGGCTGCACTGGAGTTACTTCTCCATGACAGAAGTGTGGGTTGGCAGGGGATTGGTGCCTCGACCAACCACTGAGGCAGGGGTTACTGCAGAGTTGTACCTAGCCCATGTGCCCTCCTGCTCTAGCCATTTATCGCTGTAGTCTCTGTCCTCTTGCTGGACTCTGTAGATTCAGAATCCCAGCCACCTTCTGCAGCTGCGCTCTGGCCTTCTGCTTATTCCTGTCTATTTATGTCTGACAGCATCACCCCAATCTTCACACTGTCCAGTGTTTCTGGGGAAAACCTGGATCTTTTAAAAGTCTTCCTCAACATCCTCCCTCCACTGACCAACAGTAAAGAGCAGGAAGAACTAATGCAGCAACTCACAGAGTTTCAGGTGCGTAAGGGTAGTTTTTTTCCAGTGCTGGTACTGCACTCATTGCTGTGACATGTGACAAACATCTGGGGGATCTGGACACTGTGGGGGGAGATGTGGTGAACTCCTGGGCTATTGGGAGACATTAAAGAAAGGACTCGCTTCTTAAAAAAAGCCTGTTAGACTGGACTCTGTCCTAACCAAGGGATGACCATCTCAGGGATAAGATTGTTTCTCTGGTTGCCACTTAAAAGGCAGAGGTTCCTCTAATAGGAAGGTAGTGGGAGCTGGTGAAAGCTCCGAGATGGTGTCTGATGACCAGCAGAGAGCTCACCTTCCTCCACACAAGGGGCGGGCACCTTGTCCTTATTCTGGAGTGCTATTTCACAGCTGTCTGAGCAGCTTATTCTTGTTGCCTTGCTGCAGGTCGATGAAATTTATACTGTGCCAGAGGTGGGGACTGTTGTGGGAGGAACTCTGTCGAGGTAAGTGAGGCCAGGCAGACAAGCGTGGGTGTGAATGGTTGCTGGAGTTCCCACAAGGTTAGAGTCACCCGCTGCAGATGTGGAAGCAGTGCAAGGCTCGGTCCTGACTGCTGCCAGATGACTGAGCGTAAAGCCCTACAGGGTGTTGGGAGGTGCCATGAGCAGACCATTGGTCGTGTGGTGGCAAGCAGAGAATCTGCTCTAAAGTTGCTGGATTAGGAATGTGACCTGTAGCATGCTGAAGGAAGGCATGCTGGGACCCAGAGTCGGCAGAGGTTAGCCATGATCCCAAGGCGTTGCTTTCTTCCTTAAGTAGGGGGAGGAAATGTAGAGGGCAAGTCCTTCAATGCCAGCAGAGGTTAATTGCGTGCTACCCCATGAGAAGGCAGCTGTCCCTCAGTGTTTGGGAGTGATCAGAGCAGTTTGGCTATCGGTGCATCAACACAGAACAGGTGTCAACTGCAGTCTCTCCAGCGGAAACAATGCAGTGTGGCAGAGCACTGGGGACAGAATGGTCCCTGTCCGTACCTGGTATTCTTAGGAGTGATAGCATGGCTTTTGCTCCTACTGTAGGACATCCCTGTTAGTTGGTCCCAGGTAGAGTCCAAGGACACTCACCTCCTTGGCCCTGGGGAGTTTGTGCAGGTTTCTCCAGCGGAAACAATGCAGTGTGGCAGAGCACTGGGGACAGAATGGTCCCTGTCCGTACCTGGTATTCTTAGGAGTGATAGCATGGCTTTTGCTCCTACTGTAGGACATCCCTGTTAGTTGGTCCCAGGTAGAGTCCAAGGACACTCCCCTCCTTGGCCCTGGGGAGTTTGTGCAGGTTGATCTTGGAGGGTGAAATTTCTTCCTTTTTCTGCTGATGAACTCTGTCCTGCTCTTCTGGTTTAGTGGTGGACTTGGTAGTGCTAGGTTAACGGTTGGACTTGTGATCTTAAAGGTCTTTTCCAACCTAAACGATTCTATGGTTCTTTCCTGGGCAGTGGGATCTGCCGAGAAGGGGAGAACCTGGTGGTTGGTCCCACTGACGACGGGAAGTTCCTCCGGCTGAAAGTGTGCAGTATCCAACGCAACCGCTCTGCCTGCCGTGTGCTGCGGGCTGGGCAGGCAGCCACGCTGGCCCTCGGCCCCTTCGACCGCTCCCTGCTGCGTAAGGTGAGTCCTCCTGTTGCCAGGTTGCTCACTGGTCCAGTGAGCAGGACTGGAGGCTTCCCTGGAGATCCCCCCTTGGTAGGGTGGGAATGAAGTAGAGATGTTTGCAGGAAACTCGCAGGAAGGGGAGGAAATGGCCAGGCTACGAAGTAGCATGAGTACAAGGCTGAGAATGGGATGCAAGCACAAGTCGCAGAGTGCAGATGTGTTTGTGGTTTTGGGGGCTATTCAGAAGCAAGGGGACTGGCCCTAACTGGTCTGAGCTTTGGGTTGTTGTGCAGGGCATGGTCATGGTGAGCCCAGAAATGAACCCCACCATCTGCTCAGTGTTTGAAGCCGAGATAGTGCTGCTGTTCCATGCCACAACTTTCCGGAAGGGGTTTCAGGTGACAGTACACGTCGGGAATGTGCGACAGACTGCTATCGTAGAGAAGATCCACGGAAAGGTAGGCACAGGAGGAAAAGGGAGGAAGATGGACCTCCCTGTGGGTTTGTTGGGATTCCACCATGCCCTCTAGTAAAGCTAGGGGCTACTGGCATCTGTAGCTGTGTCCCTTCCTAGAGCACACTCCATCCCTTTATCCTGCCCATTCGGTTGCTTTTCCTCCCGACACGTTAAAGAATTCCCTCATGCAAAACAAGCAGCGTGATGGACTACAGCAAGACTGTGAAGGGAGGTGAACTCTCAGTTCTCCAGAGCTTGTGTCTTCCTGTCTCCCCTTATGCATACGGTAATGGGAAGGGCTCAAGCCATGCAGTCTGAGGGAGGCAACCTGCTCATTTGCCTCATCTTCTTAGCATCCACATGCACCTCTCCTGCATGCATTGGTACGGTAGATAGGTCTAAGCTCTCCCCTTTTTCTTTTCAGGACAAGCTGCGGACAGGAGAGAAGGCAGTCGTCCGTTTCAGGTTCATCAAGCATCCTGAATACTTGAAGATCGGAGCCAAGCTGCTTTTCCGTGAAGGAGTCACCAAAGGCATTGGGCATGTCACTGACCTCCAAGCCATCACCACCAAAGAAAACGGCCTGGAGGAGTCCCTGGGGCCTGGACAGCTGAGCTTCTGACTACCACTAGGTCAGAGAGATCTCCACTCACCAACACCCAGGGAGAAGGATGGAAGCTCCCATGGCTCTCTGAGTGATGCCTGGAGCTGCTGCTGTCCCGTTCTAGCGTGGGTGTCCCTCCTCCGCACTGTGAGATGGAGCCTGGGAGAGTTTCTCGCATTCAGTGCCGTACATGGGGCAAGTTAAGCATGTTCTCCACATCGCCTGCAACTTTCGTTACCCTGCCCTCCTTCAGAACAGATCAGAGGCACCTGCAGACCTGGGCAGGCAAGTTCTGGCTTTGTTTACTGTTTGAAAATTACTGGTTAGGAGGAGCAGAACCCTTGAAGACTAGCAGTAAAGGGATGTTTTCCCAGCTCTGACACAAGATCTGGTCCCATTTCTGCTTTCTGAGCACTGGGTTGATAACAATCCTCTCTTGAGTCATCCTGCAGCACATCCTTCTGGGCAGGGGATGGAAGAGACCCCGCTAACCACAGTGGGGGCTTGGTTGAACCTCTCAGAATGCATTCGGGACACTTTTTAACTGTTTTAATCTTGGTTGGCTTTAATCTGCTGTGTGTCCATTTGTGTGTTGGTTTTGCATTACTCCGATCTGAGTGTCTCACTGTTGGGCAAATGTCCTGTTCCCTGCTCACATGTACACACTCCTTCAGCATCCTGCTTTCTGACTCCTGGGAAGCTGTGGCTGGTCCGAGTGGCACAGCCTCCCGATGTAACGTCTTGAAGGCAGAGTTTGCACTTGCATCTGTTCCTTGCAGCAGCTGGGCAGGAGGCCGTTCTGTGGAGAGCGGGGCCTGGGCCTGGGCCTGTGTTGGCGTGTGCAGGTTGTTTCTATGGATGTTCGGCTGACGGTGCCTTCTGCACGTTGGCAGCAGCGGTTTGCAGTGGGCTCCCTGGTGTGGCTGTTCCAGGTCCCAGCCCAGCCTGCTCCTCACACGCTTGCCTTTAATGTGTGAGAACAGGCTGCGTTACTAACACAAAACCAGGTGACTTCTGTTGTTTAGATGTGATTTGACAGTGGCGTGATTTTATTTCTGTTTCTTCTGGAGGAAGAATTCTTTTCTTTCCCTTGCCACTGGGGTTTGTTGTCAGAGGAAAGCTGATGTTGCCAGCAAGGACTCTGTGCACAAAGAGTGGAGCACGTTTGTCTCCCGCTCGCTGTCGTACAGCTCCCCTGTGTAGCCTGGGAGGTGCAGCAGGGGCTGTGTAGCTGTACATAGGCTTTTGGTTTTATTGTTGACTGTTAGACCAAATGTGTCTGCTGTGAGCAACGGGCCTTCAGCCAGCCCTGTCGCATGGCATGGTGGCCTGCCAGCCCTGACCGAAGGGAAGGGTGAGGACCTGTGATAGCACTTGGACACCCAAACAGCCCTGCTACCACACTGATGAGAGCAAGTTCTGCTTCTGGGCTGCTGGCACAGGCAGTGCCTGCGGGGCTGAGTGGCCCGTGCTGATCTGTGGACGTCGCAAAGCAGCGCACTCCGCCAGGCTGTAGCAGGTGGGGAGGTGGCGGCTGCACCCTGTGAAGAGCATGCTGAGGCATGGGGAAGCCGGTGAAATGGTGGTATCAATGAAGGGATTCAGAGACAGCTCAGTAGTGACAGGAGTGACCTGTCCCTCGGGGGGAGCACTGACCCTGCTGAAAATCTGCTTCTTCCCCATCAGCCCAGCAGCGAGGCAGCAGCTGCTGGCTCAGGGTCGCTGCTCAAGCAGGATCCCTCTTTCTTCCCATCCTGGCAGTGGTCTGGGTATTACGGTGACATGGTCTTTCACCCGTGCCTGCAAGAAGGACGGACCCAGCTGCCAGCAGGCTCTTCCCTTTGGTGCTAGTGGGTCACAAAGCAAGCTGCCTGGGGGGTGGGGGGACTCTGGCTGTTGGTAGCAGCCCTGGTGTTTTCTGCCCCAAAGCGGGCATAGGGTGCTGTGACCTTCTCTGAAATAGCTGATGGCTGGTCTCACCTCGTCCCTGCCATCTGTGGCATGACTGTTCTTGGTGCCATGCTCTTCATAATTGCTGTTTTGTTGTCTTGAATTTTTCTAATGCTGGGATTGTCCCTGTTTCCCAAGCATCTATATATAAATGTACAGAATAAAGATGTTTTATTGAGCTTGCTGGCTGAGTTGTACAATCAGCGAGGGTGGAGCTGGGCTCTTGCCCTGCTGCCCTTGGAGCTGGGTCACGGTTGGAG